AAAAAAAAAAAAAAAAAAAAGATACGCTCAAGAAATCGTTTATGAGAGCAAATGTAATAGCTCAGTTGAGAAGTTGATATTTATATTACATTTGACAAAACTCTCAAGAATTTTTTTTCCTAGATGTAAAACCCACATGTCTTCAATCTTGTAAAACAAAAAATTGTTAGATGCATTAATTTTCCTTCAGGAACTCCAAAAACTGAAAAAGTTTCTTTAAAATGCTTTACCTTAGAAAATAAAATTGCTACCCACAAAATTGTCACCCTCATGTACTGTTAATGATTTGCTTTTTTATTTTCTAAGGCAATTTTCATTCTTATGAAAGGTTTCTCACCATTTGGTCCAGCTATTCTACATCTAGGTATTTCTCCTCAAGACATCATTGGGAAAGTATGCAAAGACACATGGATAGAGGTATTTGTTTCAAAATTTGAATATTAAAAAAATAAAATCAACCCAAAACCTCCAGTGCTACAGGCCTGGGAAAACAATGTCTACTACCTATAGAGTGATGTGCAGTGCCATCAGTAAAGACAATGACAAATATTGAGTAATGTGAAAAAAATGTTCATAACATACATTAAAGTAAATAATAATAATAAGGTTTGATTCTATTTTGGTAAAATATACAAATATATGAAAGAGAAAGCTTAAGAAAAGAAAGAGTAATTTTGGTAGGGGTAGGAGGTGAAGAATGAGTGAACAAAAGCAAAAAGGATTAAATCTACAGAAATAAACACTACAAAGTGCACAGTGTTAATATTTGGTGAGTTTACTTGTGAGATTTTTGAGTGTGTATGCATGTGTGCATAAATGTTTTTACAAGTACAAAGACAGACTCATTTGATTATATTCTTGAGCAACTATTTTCAAAGCACATATATATACACATATTTGTGTGTTTACATTAAATTTCATGGCTTAACAAGTAGAATGATTGAAAATTTTTGAAGATTAGAACATATATGCTGTTTTTCCTTTTGCTTTAACTAAACTATTCAATCAGAAATATAAGATACTATAAATATTTTGAAAAACTGAATGTGTCCATCAGAAATAACAGGTAGAAGTGTTCCAGATAATATATATCTGCAATTGCTCAAAATCTCAGCTAGAATAATCAATATGAGTGCAGATATTTCCAGTCATTTTAGCAGATGTAAACCAACCATGTTTCCAAAGCTTTTTTTTTAGAACATTGTGTTAAATTACAGCAAAGCAAACTCATATTAGGAAAATAGCTATAAAATAATTTTAGGTTGTATGTTTCTAGGAATTCCCAAGATCCCTGTGTGCATACATCGATTTCAATTCCACGTCCCATACAGATACACTAACCTTCAGAAGGATAATCCTGAAGAACTCTAATTCCCTTGGTCTTTAAATAAGTTCTTCATACACAATTCCTTACCAACCCAGAAAATTTACTAATCCAAAGAGAATTTAAAAGAAACATCTATACCTCACTCTTAGTTACCCAGAATAGTCTCTTAGCCTGGACATAACATTGGTTAAATACTTTGGTTAACCAAGACTTTCTCTATATATGAAAATGAAGATAATCTTTTAAAAATTTAAACAGCCTAGCAGGGAAACATCAAAATAATGATTCTGATACTTACCTTATTGCATATGTAGAGGCTGTAATCATGAGGAATAGTACCACTACCATGCAGACTCCTGTCAGACCAGGAACTATAAAAATGTATAAAAGTACCTTTTAACTTAAATCATACTGATAAAAAAAGTACAAAAAATTATTACTTTAAAATCCAAAGTACTATGCTATTCTGTGGGAAGCCTAATTCACATTAGGTATCTCCATATATGTTCTCTTCAATCAAGCCTTTTTATTTATTTTATTTTTTTAATTGACAAATAATAATTGTATATATTATGGGGCACATAATGTTTTTTCCACACATATAATACATAAGTCATCAAATCAGAGCAACTAGCATATCCATCATTTTAAATACTTATCATTTATTTGTGTTGGGAATATTCCCTCACTGCTCTTTTTGTCATTAAATCTCTTGTGGAACAGAAAGGTTATCATGGACAGTGTGAGCCATCAACAGAAGAAGACACACTAGGTACCATGCAAGAGCAAGACAGATGTGCATCATTAGAGTTAGAATCATTGGAAAATAACATTTGAAATCTCAGTACAGGAAAAACAAGTTTCACTTGTAAAGGGCCACAATTTAAAAAAAGAAATAAATATTTGATATAAGAAAATTCCTGTAATTATTTGCAGTATATACAACACCCAATTTTATAAAATGCAAACTACATTCAAAATAAAAATCTATTATAAAAAAAAGAAAAAAATAAGAAAGAATTCAATTCTTTGGATTCTAGCACTTGAGTACTCTCCTCTTCACTTCCCACAGTACACAGATTCGGAAGCCTAGCAAAACGTGTCCTTCCCCTAATCCAAATCATTTTTTCTCTACACTTCCTTCCTAGGATACTTCCTTTCTCATAGTCTTTTCTATTTCCTATATGTGAGTGCTTACTTCTCAGAGGTAAGAGAAGAGTAAGGTAACTCATCTAGTTCACTCTAAAGACCTAATAGCTCAAAAATATACTATTTTAAAAGCATAGCATGCCTACACAATGACCCAGTCATCACACTCCCAAGTATTTACCCTAAAGAAACAGAAAAATCCACAGGAGACTTGTTCAAGAATGTTCACAGCTGCTATATTTTTAATAATAAAAGGCTGCAAATGACTCCGATCTTTATTAACAGATAAATGGATAAATAATTGAGTTACTAGCTATACCTGGAAAGTTAATCAGCAATAAAAAACCAAGAAGTGTTGATATATAAGCAAAAATATAGAAGAATCACAAAATTATTAGACTGAGTAAAAGAAGCCAGGCCACCCTAGCCCTCCAAAAAAGTATAATTCCCTGATTCTTTTTATATAATGTTCTAGAAAACTAGCATTGCTCTTCAGTGATATAGAACAGATCATCTGCCAGGAAAGGCAGAGAGCAGGATGTATTACAGAGGAGTACAAAAATCTTTTATGGTAACGGAAATACTTATTTATCTTGATTTTTATAATGTTTCCATATGTGTATACATATGTCAAAACCAACCAAATCGCCTACTTTACATATGTATAATTAGTGTACTTCAATTATAATTCAGTAAACTTGAGGAAGAAAAGAGAAGATCTGTCTGAGTTCAAGCAACTTAAAAAAAAAAAAAAAAAAAACTTTATTTGACCAAATGAACAACTAAATGATAGAATCCCAGATGGCTACAGAGTATGAAGTCTGGTCAGAGGCCTCTCCAGTATTTTACTGGGCCTTTATTAATGTTCTACTTTGTCTACATACAGATTTCCTATGTGGTTCTGAACATGCCAAGATTAGTCATGGAATGTCTGCAAATTACTTCATTGGGAGAACACCCGAAAAAACTGAGTATGTTTAGAATAGAGTCACAAATTCCAAAGTATATTATCTGAAAATTAATTTCTTGCGATATTAATTTATATTACTCAAAAATGCCATAGCCATTCCTTGAAGAAGTCACAGAGCACATTAATGTATTAAAGTCTCTGAGAAGTAGTAAAGAAATCTGTTTAAACTTAAATATTTTCTCAAACTTACCTTACCAGAGAAGCCCTTTTAGAACAGAAAATGGAAAACACTGGAACGACTTAAAGAAGGGACATAGTTGACTTCAGTCATTTGAAAACGAAGTTGAAGGCCCAGGCAACCCAGCCCATAGTATATATGGTCTGGGATTATGTTCCTGTTACTGTACCTTGGGCAAAATTTCAGTCTCACTGAATTTCATCTATAAACTAAGGAGAATAAATTCAATGATTTTTAATGTTCCTTCAGATTCATGAAGTTATCTATTTTATCTAAAGAGTTTTATTCTTTCTTATCTCCCCAAAGTAAAAAAGACCAAAATTTATAACTTATAAACTAATAGATTTCAGAACAATTAGAAGAGTAGTTTACAATTAGCAATGAAAAAGATATATAGTACAATTAGAGTACTCAAAAAGAGTGGGATGGGACACTACCTTAAGAGGTCACAGGTTCCTGTCACCGAACGCAAATAAACTAGCTGGCTAACTTGTTTTCTGGGATGTTATAGAAAAAAATCTATGCATCAAAGAGTTAAACAAATTACTTTTATTCATCCCATGAACTGTTTGTAAAGCAAAAGAAAAACCCCAGGTCAGTGGAGGAGACAGGTTAAGCAGGCAATTGCAACACAGGGCATTAAGTGACATTAGAGAGCTAAGCATAATGCTTCTGGGGCACATTGAAGGATATCTTAACCTAGACTTGGTTGATAACTCAGCTGAGTCAAGGTAGTCCCCATTACTACACATTCCAAGAGTCAGAAAATACAGGTTAATACATCATTGGGCTAGTCCAATCTTACTGGGCAAAATTACTTCCCAAGTGAAGGGTACTGATTTTTCCTGTGAACTTTTTGAGCCCTTCAAGTAATGAAGCCCAATTTATACTGATTTCCTTAGAACAATACGTGCTTATATGTTTATTCTTATTGCTTTTGATTTATGCATATTATTTCACTACTGAATAGCTTTTAAAATAAATAATCACAAGCCAGACATGGTGGCTCACATCTGCAAACCCAGAACTTTGGGAGGCCCAAGGCAAGAGGATTGCCTGAACCCAGGTTTCAAGACTAGCCTAGGCAACTTGGCAAGACCTCGTCTCTACAGTAAATAAATAAATAAATTAGCCGGGTGTGGTGGAGTAAGCCTGTGGTTCCAGCTACTTGGAGGGCTGAGGCAGAAGGATCACCTGAGCCCAGTAGGTCAAGGCTGTGAGTGGGCCACTGCATTCCAGCCTGGGCGACAGAGTGAGACTCTGACTCAAATAAATAAATAAATACACTGCCATTTGTAGATGAACCTGACAGAGCATTTTCATCTACACCCAGATGTGGTTAGAAATATACCATCATCTGTTCATTATTTTTTCTAAATTAATTGGAAATATAATTGCATTTGTTTATAACTTTTTTTAAAATTAAAATTAGATATTGTGCATTTTATTCTCACCATATAAAGTACTACCAAATTTGGAGATATATATTCACTGTATTCAACATTTTATTTTATGAATTCCTTAAATGAAATGTTTTTAACATGCCTTATGTAGCAAATCTTGCTATCACATTTTATGTCACTTGTACTGCCAAAGCCAAAGGCTTTATTTTCTACAATACAATCCTAATTGTTCAGTACTAGTTCATATTGACATTTTTTTAAAAAAAATCACAGAGATAGATTACTCTGTAACGTTAAACAAACCAAAATCCCAGAAATATGTTAACTAATGAAAATGTTCTTAGCCGGGCTCAGTGGCTCAGCCTGTAACCCCCGCCCCTTGGGGAGGCTGAAGTGAGCGGATTGCCTGAGCCTACGGTTCAAGACCCGCCTGGGCAGGCAAGACCTCATCTCTACAATAAGTCAAAAACAAAAATTAGCCGGGCGTGGTAGCGCGCACCTGTAGTTCCAGCTACTTGGAAGGCTGAGGCGGAAGGAGCGCTGGAGCCCAACAGGTGGAAGCTGCGGTGGCCTGGAGCGACCACTGCACTCCAGTCTGGACGACAGAGTGAGACTCCAACTCAAAAAAAAAAAAAAAAGAAAAGAAAAAGAAAAGAAAATGTTCTTTATCATTAGAACACCTAAAAATAAGCATGCTTTCCTTCATCAGGAACTTAATTTTCCCTGGGTGCTGTGCCTAAGAACGTTCAAAGACAGCTGTGGAATAGTTTTAGTCAGTATTAGTAAAACAAAAGTAAACTAAGTCATTAAACAGTATCTCTCAATTCACCACCATCCTTGGACTCTACTTTCCTTTACCACCTGCTACTATAAGCAGGATCGCACAGATGCCCTTGGTGCTCCAGACTCACACGTGGGGAGCCCTGTGTCTGAGCCCAGTTCCATGTTGATGATCTGGGAAGGGATGACCCCTGCTGGTCAGGACAGTATTTCTTTCATGAAATTATGTGAGACTGAGCTACCAGGAATAGTGGTCACTTGCTGATTTGGGGTAACTCAAATTATTTACATTGGCAAAAGCCTTACAAAAACTGTTTGCCAAGGCCCTGCATACCCTAGGGGCAGCTCCTTTTTTTTTCCCGAGTCGGAGTATCACTCATTCACCCAGGCCGGAGTGCAGTGGCATGCTCACAGCCACCCCAGCGTCGACTCGTTGGGCTCCAGCAATCCTTCCACCTCAGCCTTCTAAGTAGCCAGAACTACAGGTGCATGGTACCGCACCCGGCTCATTTTTTTTTTTTTTTAAATTGTAGAGACGAAGTCTCGCCAAGTTGCCTGGTCTGGAATCATAGGCTCAGACGATCCACTCGCCTCGGGGTCCCAAAGTGCTGGGATTATAGACCGAGCCACCGAGTCTGGCAGAGCTCTTCTTGACTCAAGAGAAATTTACTTACAAGTGGAAAAGATAGCAAATGTATGAAAATAAACTACTCTACAACACGATATTTTTACAGTCTTCTCTAGGTATCCATGAGGGATTGGTTCTAGGATCTTTTCTAGATACCAAATCCAAGGATGTTCAAGCCCGTATAACAAAATAGTGTAGTTCTTGCATATACTTTAAATCATCCCCAAATTACCTATATAGCTAATACAATCCAAATGTTATGTAAATAATTGTTACACTGAATTGCTTTTTCATTTGTATTATTTTTTATTGTTGTATGTTATTTTTATTGTTTTTTGAAATTTTTTTGATCCATGGTTGCCACAGATCCAGAATTCATGGATGCAGAAGGCCAACTGTACTATGTAGCCTTAGGAATTCAGACCCAGAAAAAGATCAGCTCCGCCTACTGGAATTAGGGAGGAATTTGCACATGATGGGGCATGTCAGTTGTCATTTCAAGGATGAGCAGCCATGAACCAGGTGAACAAAAGAAAGTAAGTGATTTCAGACAAAAGATAGAGAGTACTGAAAAGGTATGATCGAGCGTGTGATGAGATTTTCAGTAGGGGTAGAATCGCAGCTCCCAGGATAGCTGGAATGTTAGCAAAACACATGACCACGTCTCTCCCAGAGACTTCCTAAGATGGAGCCAGGAATTTCATGTTAAACATCTTCTCTACTTAATCCAACACCACTCATGAAGAAAGAACACAGGATTGTGGGGTTGCATGCTAGGTAAAGAGATCACTTGCTTATTATATAAAGTATTAATTATAACAAGTGTATTAATGTAATATCTTAGTCACATAACAAATATTTTTATATCTTTGTAAGCTAAACTTTTTACAGCATTTTAAATGTCCCAAGGCTTTAATTAAACTTTGTGCCACAGAAAATAATATTTTTAAAAGTTCTTGTTTATTCCTCCTAAATGAATTCATACAAACCAAATAATACATTGATTCACACATAAGGTTTTGTTTTTCTTCTTTTTCCCCTTCTAATTGTCATCTGATTATTGAGTTTTAAATAAAAACATGTTTTCAACAAGCAAAGTTGTAAGCAAACTAAATTGCGTTCCTAAAGAGAAAACTGTGAAATAGTTTATAAGTGGCGAATATCATAAATCTACAGGCAGAAACAAAATATATTTTATAAATCTAAATATGTAGTTGTGGCACAGAGGGAGAAAGCACCAGAATTATTTCTATTTTTCATCATAAAATTGATTCAAAATAAAAGCAAGGCATTTGACAGAATATTGTACCTCAGACCCCTGTGCAATTCTGATCCTTAATAGAGTACTTTGGCCAAGCATTTATGACAGATACATCATCTCAACTACCCAATCATCCCTGTCCCTAAAATATGTGCCAAAAGTCTCCAAAATGCAGCTTTCTCCTTTCATCGTTGTAAATGTAAGTTTGTGAAAAAGAAGAATTTTAGTAAGAATTGTCTAACATCAGGGGAACATTATGAGATATTCAAATGTGCTTTAACAAATTAATAGTCTAGACTGAGATTTCATGGACAATAAACTTAAGAAGGAAAAATCAATTACAAATTAAATAGGAAACACATTTCAAAAAATAACTCATTTTAATGACTGTTTCTCTCTGTTTTTATAGGTTTTAAAATTACAAAAAAATCCTACCAAATTACTGAATTATAAGAACTACATTGATACCTAGAGTGATTGGTGTGTCTTTCTGACACCTTGAGGGCAGAAGCCCATTACACATGTATTATCTCCCACCAGTACTTGCTATAGCGGCAGGGCACAAAACAGGCCTTCAATAGTTCCAACTGGAAGAACATATGACAGGGAATTGTGTTTGCTTACTTCCACTCTCCATTTTTTCAAGCCCCAACTATGTGCCCGCCTTGTCCCTCTGTTCTCATTGCAACCTTAACCCAGAACGCCTACTATTTGTTCTTATATGCAAATTTTCCTTATGTTATATTTTAACATGTACCTAATTGCTTAGCAATTTGTCAAAGCTTACTTCCAAAGATGTTTCTGAATCTAAAGGGCTCAGAAAAGCAACTTACCAGTAGTGAAGAGAAGTTTTCTAGGATCCTGAAAAAAAAAGAAAAATATATTGTCTGAAAAACAAAACACTGATGATGCATAACTCTACAAGGAGCATGCAGGGTATACAAGCCATAAATTTGGCATGTAAGATACTGTTCTCCCAATGGAAGAGAGACTCATTTAAGTTTCATAACATTTTCACAATGTTAGAGGAGATTTTAACAAGAAATATCCAATTCAAAGAAGTGTATCCATCTCAGAAAGGCAAAACACTGGATGACTCAGAAGCCAAAGTTTTCATTTTGATGGCTACTTACAAACTAGTGGCAGTGATTTTAAGCCCACTCTTTCACCATTTTCAAACTCAATATCTTCAGCCATAATATGAGGATAATACTACATACTCTTGTCTACCACAACTGACAAACTGTTTCTACAAGATGTCAAGATGGTAAGAATAAAAACCAATAAAATATGTAGGGGTTTTGCACACTGTAAACTCAGTACAAAGATAACTAATTGAGAAATTACAATATTTCAAATATAGTAAAAAGTATGAGGATATTCAAATAAAGATAGGTTTTTGCTACTTGGAAATATGAAACATTAATATTGTTATAGTACTATTTCCTTTCAATTGAATCTGTCATGCTGTAATGGACTATAGTCAATGTACATTCTATTTTCTGGAAAACTTAAATCAATACCCACTTGTGAGGGATTTTCTCATCCCCATGGTGCTTAATATTGCACGAGCTTTGAATTATTTTCCTTATGTCTTTATTGAATCTGGAGTCGGGTCATACTATACACTAAGTAGGAAACCATTTATATGGTATAATTTCAAGGACTTTGAATATGAACCACTTGTCCAGGAATAGCTCCTCACCTCATGTGAGTCAATTCATTTATATTCCTGGTATTTGAACCATAGCTAAAGGATGATCTAGAGAAACCCAATATATAAACAACTAGTAAAAATATAACATGGGCTGAACAAAGTAGTAATACTAGAAATGTGAATAAATAACTATGGACACCCAGAAGATAGAACAATCAATATTGCCAGGAAAAGATGATGGAACATGAGAGTGAGAGAGAGTTTCACAGATGGCAAGATGAGGCAGATTCGCTAGGCTATCAAGAATGCGCAGCAGTCACAAGTTGGAGGACGAGTCATTCTAGGCAGAGTGAAAGCATAGAGCAAGAAGATAGGGTGAATGGCACAGAACCATCATTTTCTTTCTTTTTTTCTTTTTTTTTTTTTGAGTTGGAGTCTCACTCTGTCACCCAGACTGGAGCACAGTGGCTGCTCCCGGCCACAGCAGCCTCAACTTGCTGGCCTCCGGCAATCCTTCCGCCTCAGCCTTCCAAGTAGCTGGAACTACAGATGCGCACTATCACGCCCAGCTAATTTTTTGATTTATTATAAAGATGAGGTCTCGCCAAGTTGCCCAGGCGGTCTCGAACCGGTGGGCTCAGGCAATCCACTCACCTCAGCTTCCCAAAGCACGGGATTACAAGCTGAGCCACCAAGCCCGGCTAGAATGATCATTTTCAAAGGCAATTCACAGACTAATACATCTGATTATTATATGTGAAGTGTGACAATTATGTCCGTGAACTTATCCCAGAAAAAGTGCTACATCCCTCACTGCTGAATATCACTATGGTCACCTTCAAAGTACTCCCCTTGGGAAGTTATGCACCAATGCCAGCACCTAGACCACCAGACAAAGCAATTTTGGAACTCTTTTTTCTGGAATGGCCATCAGAGCTGCTGTCGTTATTTGTTTAGGTATGTCAATTAGGCTCATGATCTTGCTACTGTGTGCTTACGTGGGCAGTACTATACAAATAACTGTATTGGAACACCCTCCCTACTCACCTAATCTGGCTTCTAATGACTTTTTTCTTTACCCGAAGATAAAGGAAATATTGAAAGGAAGACATTTGATGACATTCAGGACAACAAGACAGCTCTGATGGCCATTCCGAAAAGAGTTCCAAAATTGCTTTGATGGGTGGACTAGGCACTGGTGTTGGTACATAGTTTCCCAAAGGGAGGACTTCAAAGGTGACCATTGTGATATTCAGCAATGAGGTATATAGCAATTTTTCTAGGATGAGTTCACGAACTTAATTGTTGGTCCTCATATACCATATATATTATTCATATATAATATATAAATATATGTATATACACTTTTATTCTCATTGGCATCTAGCATATTGCCTGTAACTACTAGTTGGTAAATACATATTTATTAAGGAAGAGACTAGTCCATGCCTGTAATCCCAGCCCTTTGGGAGGCCAAGGTGGGAGTATTGCTTAGCTCAGGAGTTTGAGACCAGCATAGGCAAAATAGCGAGACCTCATCCCTACAAAAAAAAAAAAAAAAATCATGTAATTAGCTGGACGTGGTGGCACATGTCTGTAGTCTCAGCTACTTCAGAGGATAAGGTGGAGGGATTGTCTGAGCCCAGAAGTCAAGGCTATGGTGAGCAGTGATTGTGCCACTGCATTCCAGCTTGGATGACAGAGTGAGACTCTGACTCAAAAAATAAAACAATAAAAATAAGGAAGAGAGGAAGAACAAAAAAAAGACACAAAGGAATAAAGGAAGAAGAAAATAAAGTCAGAGGTAGACCTGAGTGGCAACCATGTGAAAAAATATCAGCAGTTGCTTTCTTTAAAGTAAAGAAAAAACTACAACTTAAAACAATGAGTTGGCATTTTCATTCAACAGATTGGTAAAAAAAAGACCAAACAAAACCAAGAACAGAGGTGAGGTGTCTAAATAGGCATTATGATATTGGTAGAAGTGTGTAAACTGAAGAAGTCTTTCTATAAGGCAGCTTGGCACTGTCCATCAAAACTAAAAATGTGCATACCTTTTAAACTGAAATTTTGCATCTATGAATCTGTTAGCAGAAGTATACAGAGGACTAATTTTCTTGGAGTGTGGTTCATAACTAAACTTGTTAACAATCAAAATGCCTGTAAATGAGGAAAAGACTGAAAATAAATGATGGCATATTTATGTGCAGAGAAGGAAATAGATCAATATAATCAGATACAGTAAGGCACGATATGTATATTTATGGAAACGTAAATTGTAGAGAAATGTGTATTAAAATACCACTCCAAATATTTTAGAAGAAAACAAAATAATAAATCGTGGCTTGTTTTAGAGGGGAAACTTTTACTTCTAACTTCATTTACTTGAGATTTTTTAAATATTTTACGTTGAACATGTATCCCTTTTGAAAGAAAATAAATTAAGTACTGAAAATACTAACATGATTAAAAATATTATAACTTAAGCAAAAGTATATTTCATTAAATATACAATCAGAGAAAATCATTAGATATTAAAATATATGAATTAAAAAATACACATATATAAGGATTCTAAAAAAAGAAGGAAAAGGGAAGCAAAGAAAACTGTATAGCAGGAGCAGGAAACAAGCAGCAGATCCTGAGTGATCTAAGCTGGGCAGGAGGAATGAGGACTTATGGGATGGGATGGAAGTCAGGGAGAAGTGGGGACTGGGTCCCAAACCATTACATGGGAAACTGGATTTTTCAGGGGTTCTCAATGATAAGTGCACTCTACAAACCTGGTGAGTTTTTAAAAACCATCAGTGCTTAAGTCCCAAGCCAGACCAATTAAATCATATTGGTGTTTTAAAAAATACTAGTTAAGGCAAGGATTAATCAAAGGTTGTTTTGTGATTTGTTTCTGTTTGTGGTTACTTTTTTTCTATGTTTGGGAGGAAGGACAAGCACATGATCACAGCATTATTCACCTCTAGTGGCATGTCGAGGAGAAAATGGAGTGGGGAAGATGGGAAACAATCTTATTAAATCACTACTAAACTTGATCAGCAGAATGAGAGGGGGCATTCTGATTAAATGGAACAGAGAAGCTTGGTTTGATGCAGCCTTGGCAGTAAGAAGCAAAGGTAGCCTGAGAGCAGCATGACAGTACCAGCAACAAAGGTGAGGAGGTGGTTCATTAGACTCTGGGTCAGCACCTTCCACACATCATTACATTTCATGGGCAGCTTTGCATGGAGAAAAGCACACCTACATTGGATACTGCCTGCTATAGAAGTCAGCTCAAGGACACCTGTTTCAAGGACTTTTTTATATCAAAGAATCATAAAAACTAATATCTTCAGTCAAATAAATTAATTTATCCAGGATTCACAAAGAATCAATCTACTTTTCTGTCCTTTTTCCCCAAGAATAGTCTGTAAGTTATTAAAGTATTTTTACCCTGTATTGGCACTGTCGACACTCTCACTGAATGATAGACATTAGACACAAGCTGTCAGGAGTCAGAAGGTAGGCCTGAGTGGCAACCATCTGAACATTGCATTATATAAGAAGTAACATGCTCTATAAACTCCCGTTTTCAGCAGGAGACTATGAAATAGTAATTATCTATATTTTCTATTGAAAATGAATAAAACTTAACCTGACAACTGCATTTTAAAAGCACTCAGAGGAGCAGCAAGGTAGAAATTTTCTGTGAAAATCATAGACCCTCATTAGTTATTTCACGACAAATAAAAGGAAAATGGGAAGACAGAGACCACCCACCTCATCTCGGTATCTTGCTGCATTCAATTCAACAAAATCCTCACTATAATTCACTGAGAAGTTGAGGGCATTCACCAGGTGGGCAGCCACATGCACACCTACGGAATCACATCAGGCACAAATCAGTGGGGTTTTCACATATGATCTACAGCAAGGATTCAATTCCTCTCTCAAGCAAATAGGGGATCAAACTTTGACAGTCATATGAGCAATGAAATACAGTAAGTCTTCTACATACAAACCTTCAGGTTGTGAACTTTCAAGGATGTGAATGTGCATTCACATGTCCAATCACGTATGTTAGTTCATGTGTCTGGCATACATTGTCATGTATGTGCATCCTCTACTAGTGGTCATGCTTTTGTGTACTTTACTGTATAGTACTGTATAGAGTAGAGTAATACATTATCTTTATTTCAAGCCCAGGATGTCTGGAAGCAAGTATAAAAGCAGTAGTGATGTAGCTGGGACTGCTAAGAAGCTCCAAACAATAATGATGGAAACAAAAGGGAAAATAATTGAGAGAGTGGAGTGAGGCAAATACATGGCAGACATCACCCATCCTTATAATGTGAATCATTCAACCATCGGCACAATTATAAAGAACAAGGACAAGATCATAGAACATGTGAAGTCTGCTGCGCCAATAGTGTCAACAGCAATATCAAAGAAGCATGGAAAAGTGATGGAGAAGGAGAAACTTCACAGTGTATGGATGCAGGATCAGCATTGGCATCAAGTCCCATTCATTTTAATACTGATTCGAGAGAAAGCTGAAAGTCTTTATGAAGACTTGAAGAAGAAACACAGTGAAGAATCAGAGGGCTCATCTTTTAATGCCAGTCATGACTAGTTTCATAGGTTCAAGGCTAGAGCCAACCTTCACAATGTAAAACTAAGTGGCAAGGTACCGAGTACAGATATAGGCTACCTAAGCTAACTTTGTTGGACTTATAAACAAATTGGATTACAAATGTACTCTCGGGACAGAACTTGTTTGTATGTAGGGGACTTTAATGCAGAACTGCATTAAATTGAAAAGTGAAGTTATAAAGATTCAGAAAACTTAACTATAAAGAATTTACCAAATTTTCAAAGACTGAGATGAAATAGCTCTAGTAAATCAGGAATAGAATAAAAAATGCGGCCAGGTGCAGTGGCTCATGTCTGTAATCCCAGCACTTTGGGAGACTAAGACAGGAGCATGGCTTGAGCCCAGGAGTTTGAGACTAGCCTGGGCAACGTAACAAAACTACGTCTCTACAAAACATCAAAACATTAGCCGGGCATGGTGGCACACTCCTGTAGAGTCTGAAAGACTAACTCATTTTGGTATAGCCAGGGGGAAAGACTATCTTGAGGGGTTGAGTAAATAAGGAGCAAGTGCCTGTGCACTGACCCATCATACCTCTCCTTGCCCAATCTTTTCTTGTAGGCAAAACAAGGTGTGAATTAACAGCACCTTTTAATGTATTGAAAAGAACAACAGGTAACTTCCTGAAAAACTTGTGGTCTTGGCCACATTGCTTCCTTCCAGAGCAAGTTTACTTCTCTGTAAAATGATAGTGACAAGTTGGGTGTGTTGGCTCATGCCTATAATTCCAGTACTTTAAGAGACTAAGGATCGCTTGAATCCAGCCTAGGTAACAACATTGTGAGACTTTGTCTCTATAAGAAATTAGCGGGCATGCTGAGCCCAGGAGACTGAGGCTGCAGAGAGCCATGACTGTGCCACTGCACTCCAGCCTGAGGGACAGAGTGAGACCTTGACTCAAATATATGTATAAGTGATATGAAATTGTTTAGTAAACCATTAAAGTTTACAACAACATATGGAGTACAGTGACTAAAAAAAAAAAAAAAAAGACATGGTTTGAAATCTAAAACTCTATAATCCCCCAAAGCCCAAAACATGAGATGTGGAGATGCCAAGAATTCCAAATTACTCACAAAGACTAATGAAAGTAGTTGAAGACTAGAATGCTAAAAATTAGATAAAGAACATAAAATCCTTCAGGTGATCAAATTAAAGGTGAGAAAAAAATAGAATGTACTATAAAGTTACAAAGTTACAGTAACCAAGACAAGAGTGATATTAGCAAAAGAAAAAAAAATATTAATGGAACAGAATAGAGAGCCAAGAAATAGACTCACAGAAATACAGTCAATTGATCTTTGACACAGGAGCAAAAGCAATAATGGAGGAAAAAAATAGTTGTTTTTAACACATGGTGCTGAAACAAGGGAATATTCACATACAAAAAGAAACTAGACATAGACTTTATACCCTTCACAAAAATTAAATCAAAATGAATCACAAACCTAAAATGTGAAATACAAAACTATAAAACTCCTAAAAGAAAATACAAGAAAAAACCTAGATGACCTTCAGTTTGACAATGATTTTTTAGATACAATACCAAAGGCATGATTCCTGAAAAAAAAAAATTGATAAACTGGACTTCATTGAAGTTAAAACTGTTCTGCCCTGCAAAAGACATTGTCAAGAGACTGAAAAGACAAGACAGCCAGGTGCGGTGGCTCAAGTCTGCACTTTGGGAGGCCGAGGTGAGGGGATTGCCTGAGCCCATGGGTTCGAGAACAGCCTGGGCAACTTGGTGAGACCTCATCTCTACAATAGATCAAAAAAATAGCCAGGCGTGATAGTACGTGCCTGTAGTTCCAACTACTTGGAAGGTTGAGGTGGAAGGATCACCTGAACCCAGTGGGTCAATGCTGGGTTGGCTGTGAATATGCCACTGCAATCCAGTCTGGGCGACGAAGTGAGACTCCAACTCAAAAAAAAAAAGAAAAAAAAAAGAACTGAGAAAAAAAAATTGCAAATGACATATCTGATAAAACTTTGTTATCAAAACTATACAAAGAAGTCTTAAAACTCAACAATCAAAAACCAAATAACCCAATTAAAAAAGACCTTAAGAGCTTACCAAAGAAGATATACAGAAGCATATAAAAAGATGCTCCACATTATTATAATACTATAAGAAAGGGATTGGTAGTAGCATGACACGGGGGGTGGTGTAGGGTGCACACTTCATCAATAAGAGTACCTGATCACAAACCAGGCGAAGTGGGGACAAGACTCAGGCCCAACTTTTACCTGAACAATGACCATTTGTATACCTAATCCTGAATTGTACCCCACATACTATCAGGGGAATGCACATTAAAATGACAATAAGATACCACTGCACACCTATTAGAATGGCCAAAATACAGAACACTGATGCCAAATGCTGGTGAGGACCTGGAGCAACAGGAACTCTCATTCATTTCTGCTGGGGATGCAAAAAACAATATAGTCACTTTGGAAAAAAGTTTGGTAGTTTCTTAAAAACTACACATACTCTTACCATGTGATCCAGCAATCACACTCCTTGATATTTACCCAAAGGAGGTGAAAATTTATGTCCACACAAAAACATGCACGTGATGTTTACAGCAGTTTTACTTACAGTTGCAAAAACTTGTAAGTAACCAAGATGTCCTCTAGTGGGTGACTAGATAAATCAACTGTGGTACAGTCAGACAATGTAATATTATTTAGCACTACAAAGAAATAATCTATTAAGCCATGAAAAGACATGGAGAAAACTTAAATTCATATCACTAAGTGAATGAAGCCAATCTGAAAAGGTTACCTATTGTATTATTCTAACTATATGACATTTTGGAAAAGGCAGAGAACTTTGGAGACAGTTAAAAATTAGTGGTTGTCAGGGGTTTGTGGGATGGAAGAATAAACAGACAGAGACCAGGGATATTTAGGGCAGTGAAACTACTCTGTATGATACAATAATAGTCAGCATATGTCATTACACACTTGCTCAAACTCATAGAATGAACAACATCAAAAGTGAACCCTAAGTAAAGTATAGGTGACAGTGATGTGTCAATAATATATGTTCATCACTTGTAAAACATTGTACCATTCTGGTGGGGGGGTACTGATAATGGAAAAGACTGTGCATGTAGGAGAGTGAAGGGCAATGAAAAATCTCTGTACTTTTCTTTCAACCTAAATCTGCTTTTAGAAAATAAGGTCTCAAAAAAAAATATTTGTAAAGAGAAAAAAAATGGATGAAAAGCTAAAATGGGTTAACTAACAAGCATGAACAGGGTTCTAAAGAAGTTGAAGAGTGTCTAGGTGTGACTCAACTATAGTATAGGTATAAAACATTATTTAAGCAAAACTATCTGTGTCATACAGCTTCCTCAGTAACAAAATCTATAGCTCAAAAAAGCCTTTTCTTTTAAATTAAAAGCTAATATGTTAACTACATATTTTATGGCTCAAAAATACAAAGTTATCCTTAAAAGAACTGCTATTCTTTCCGAGTTCCCCTGGAGAATTAAAAGCCATAGGTAACAGCTATATAAAATATATCATTAAGGGATATATTTACCTTCTTTAAAAGACCTTGTTTAAAAGATACACTATTTTCTGTAATCCCCCTAGACAGCCCTGTCTAACAAAAGAAAATCTCAAGTTGGTCACAGAAAATCTCAAGTTGGTCAAGTTGGTCAAGTTGGTCAAGAAAATCTCAAGTTGGTCACAGCAGATGATATATAGAACAATAAAATTATACATTTTTCCATTCAAAAAATGTGTAATTCTAACAAAATATTTAACATCTTTTGGCCTTCTCACCTGAGAAAATACAAATAGTAACACCACAGGTTATATGGAATGTTCTGCTTTTATCCAACAGTCTTCTGGTTCTCCTGCTTGTAACCTAAATGAAAATCATTAATGTCGTTAAAATGATGCAACAAATGAGTGTATGTACAAGTGTTTCATTATAGCATTATTCATTAATATCAACATTTTAGAAACATGGTAAAAGCCTATCAATTAAAAACTGGTGAGATGAATTATGAGACATCTAGTTAATGAAACATTCAAATCATTAAAAATCAGGTGAGAAGGCTATATATTATTAACATGGAAAATGTGCTATATTGTTAGGTTGAAAATGGTTACAAAATATAAATTACACTGTGATCCCATACTGTTCAACATTAGTGGCATTAATGTTAATATACCTGCAGGCAAGTACTCCAAATTGTCATCAGTGGTGTTCTGACCGAATAAGATTAGGAAAAACTTTGTGTGATTATTTTGCATATTTCTGAAATGTTTGCATTTTAAACTATATATGATTTGATTTTATAGTTAAAAAAATAAGAGTACCTTTAAATGAGGCAATCTCTTCTAGAGTTATAAATGCCTGCTTGATCTTATCTCAAAATAACGTGTCAAGAACCTTTGATTCACTGTTTCACACTGGGGACAATTCTTTAAGAATTATTAAATACTGAGAACTCAGGTGGGAACTTTTCATTGCCTGCCACTTATCGTCTCTTTCTTCACACCAAGTCAATGGCCAGGACAGGGATCAAAACCTAGCATTTTACAATGGTAGGCAACCTGGAGAAAGAGTTATTTCTACAAAGTACTGCCTTCAAAGTAAAGAGATTCTAAATATAAGTATATAAAAAGCTTGAGAAGTTTTACTAGAGTAAATCTGCACACATAAAATTCATAGAACATCAGTGACCTCAAGTTAACAACTCCTTTCATCCTTTCAAAATATCAACATCTCTCCAGCAGTGCTTTACTAGCTTAGTGAAGAATACACACACACACACACACACACACACACACACACACAAGAATAACCAAAAGCAAAACAGAATTTCAGTTGAGTTTTAACAGAATGACTAAGTGGTTTTATGTTTTGTTACATCCTTCATTTTACACTAAACATCACACATGTCATCACTATTTAATCAAGACATCTTTTTCAAGCTTATTATGCAACTCAAAATGGGTATGCTTTTTAAAGCAGAAATGTTACCGACACCAGCAATCATTCTGTAAATTGCTCAAAGGCTACAGTTTGCTCATCTGAATTTAGCTAAGCAAAACCATAGAATCTCAGTGAGGCATGGTTTAGTGGGAAGAGCTCGGAACCAGGATTAATCTTAGCTCTGCCACTCACTAGTCTCATGATTTTAATCAAGTTACTTAAACTCTCCAAGCCTCGGGTTTCTCATGTGTAAAATGGAACCAACAATAATGATTGCAGAATTATTTGTAAGGATTTGCAATCATGTATGTGAAGTGCTGAGCACTGTGACAGAAACCAGTTAATAATGATGCTATTATTCCCTCCCCTTACGCAGTGTTGCAGAGTAGCTCACTGATCATCTTAGCAGGCGACATGACTCTCACCGGTATCTTTGAGGAAATCAACAGTCAGACAGTCAGAAGTTGACAGTCAGACCATGAAAAACAAATAGAACTAACATGTAATTGTGACACTTGATTTTTATGCTGGGATCTATAACCAGGATTTTTTTTCCTTACCTTCTGGGATCCTCGAAGGTAAGCCAGGAGTGTTCGGCACATGGGTAAAAGGATAAGGCTGCAGTTGAGGTTAAGAACAGACGCAGAGGCTCTGCTTAGACACAATCCTAGCTGAACAAATAAGGCAAGGTCAGCACACAGTCAAGGACAAAAGTAAAGTCATGGTCTGGACTCAGACACTGGTCTCACCCTGCTGTTCCTTTAAGAATCATGTCAAACAAACTCTCAAGAGTCTAGAATAACTTTCACCTATCCACTCACTAAAATCACCTAAGAAAAACTGGTTTATTTCTGCTCTGTGCTGCCATAAAACTTAGTACTTCTTTCATTCTTGCTAGTGTTGCAATCACCAGATAAAATTTTTTCAGCGCAAGGTCAATTACTTATTCTGCCTTCACCTCACAGTTTTGGGTGTTAGGAGCCCTTCAGAGTCTTAGCAGATTCTGCACCTCCTCGCAGTACTGGACCCTCTGTTCACTGACAAGGCTACAGAGTTTTAAATGAGCCTTTTCCATTTGTGTTCTCTCTCTCTCTGAAACACTTGAGCACTGCACAACCAGTCTTACACACCACAGCCTTCCCTCTCCTCCTCCCAACCCCGTGTTCTTCTTATCAATAACTTTACTTATCTTGTAGCACCACTTGTGCTCATCTTTAAACATGACTCCTCGAGAGCCCATCTTTGCCCAACACTAGGAAAAACCCCATGGTATAAACACTCTCATTGCTTTCTGTACTTTCTTCCTTATGTCTTCTAACACTCTTTCCAATCTTTTTTTAAGTTTTATTTTACTTTTAATTGACAAATTAAAAAATGTATATATGTACAAGGTACAATGTGACATTTCAACATATGTATGCATTGTGGAATAAGCGAGTCGGGCTAGTTAACATATTCATCACCTCAAATACTTCTCATTTCATTATGATGAGAACATTTAAAATACACTCTTTTAGCTGCCTTGAAATACACAGTACACGATTATTAACTATAGTTAACATGTTGTACAGTCAATCTCCTGACCAATTTCTGCTGCTTAACTGAAATGTTGTGCCCTCTGAGCAACATCTCTCCTTCCTGTCTACCTCCCACTTCCACCCCTGGTAAACACCATTCTACTCTCTACTGTGAGTTCAACTGTCTTAGATTCCGAATGTAAGTGAGATCATCTGATATTTGTCTTTCTGTGACTTCTATGCCTGGCTTATTTCACTTAGTATAGTGTTCTCTAGTTTCATTCATGTTATTAAAAATGACCAATCTCTTTTTTTTTTTAAAGCAAGATTTAGTGAGAGGACAGTAGGAGGGGACCCAAAGGGGTTGCCCACAAATGACTAATCTTAAATAGGATGGAGCCTTGGAAAACTGAAATTTGTATGTTTGAGTATGTCTTGGGAGAAGGATACATCAGTTTTTTTGAGGGCATTTTAACTTGGTGATAGCTAATTTACAGAATTATCTTCATATTAAAACAAATGAGACTGAATGTAAGATGGCAGCCAAGCCAGTCAGACTATGTGAGTTCCCTTGTGAGTGAGTGAGTGAATGGATGGAAAATTGTGTATGCATGCTGGTGAGCGAGTGCGCGTGTGAGTGGCTGACTGAGTGAGGGCTTGGGAGCTGGGGGCCATGGTTCTCCTGGTACAGTGGCTGGTGCCACAATTGCTGGGCTTGGACTCTAGCGATTCCCAGGACACAGAAGCCAAGTGCCTTTTTCTTTTTCTCTCTCTTTTTTTAATCAATAAATCCTCCCTGGGAAGAAAATGCTGGGATCGACCGTCTAAGTGGGGGCTAATGAGTAGGTGGCCAGGCCCCAGATGCAACAGCTGGTACTGCAGCCTCTCTATTTCGTCCTGGCTCTACCAAGGTCACTGAAGCCAAGCACCATTGTTTTTTGTTAAACAGGCAGAAGTTTTCCTGTGAAAAACTGGTGGGGAGAAATGATCGCCCCAGGCTCTCCCTCTCCATTGCAATAGGAGAGAGACTGCCAGCTCCTGGCTTTGACTCACCACTTCAGTGCCTGGCAGGGCACTGGCAGCAGGGGTTGAGGAGGGGAGTCCAGAGGCAAGGTCCCAAGGAAGAGGATAAGAGAGGCAAGCCACCGCCACCTTGAAGGCAGGGCAGGAAAGTGCTCCAACTAGCTCACCACGGAGCAACAGACCCAATCTCTGTGACTGGTGGATCAAGTACTCAGGGGTTGATTGTGGCCCAGAGGGAATATTCTGAGAACAAAAACTTCAGAGGGACCTGATGAGTGCTGAGTTCCAGGTGCCCCACCCCCTATCCTGATCCAGATGCGGGACAAAGGATGTGGCCAGAAAAGAAAGAGGAAGAACTCCAAAGAGATCAGTGGTGAGTCTGGTGCTGACCCAAACCCCCTCCTCCCCAGCAATGCTCTGAACATCAGACCCACATAGCTGGGCCACGACTGAGAGGGGCAAACCCAGGAGGAGCCCGGACATCAGTCACAATAGCAGAACTCCCTTCCAGGATAGGCTTGGCTGGGGCAGACCCCACGAGAGTACATTACCTGGGAAAGAGACAATCCCATACCTCCCACTAGAGGAGATCTCCCTGACCATATGAGAGTGGGAGGGGAGGACTGCAGCCCTGCCCACCTCCACTGCCCCTCTTCTTTCCCTACTGCAGACACTGAGAAGAGAGTGAAAGAGGTGGCACTGCAGAACTGATTAGAGGAACAATTACAGAGCTTGCCACAAGAGGGCAGGTGTTCTTTTTTTTCAATTTTTTTTTAATTTTTAAAAATGTTTTGACTGTTAGTTCATCTATTTTAAAATACTTTTCCTTTGTGCATGAATGTGTATGTGAGGTTTTGATCTGCATCCCTCCCCCCCCAATTTTTTTTTCTTTTCTTTACTTTCTTCTTGTATTTGTTGCTTTCTATTTATGTGTATATGTGAATGATTGAGTGTTCATCTTTCAATTTTGTCACTGTTGGTGGTTTTTGCTCTTTTGTTCTACTGGGTTTTTTATTTTAATTTTTTATAGTTTCAGATGTGAACCTAAATTCCTTTTTTTTTTTCCTCTCTCCAGTTCTTCTGTTTTTCTTCTCTATTCACTTTGTGCTAGGTGTGTGTGTGTGTTTAGCTTTCTTGGTTTTTTATTGTTTGTTTTGTTTCACTTTGTAGTAATTTCAGTTTGTTTGGGAGTGTATGTGTGTATTCAATTGCTTCTGCATTGGTTTCTGCTTTGCATCATCATATAGAGTGATGGTGGGGAGTGGGTCTCAGAAAACACATACCACAATAGATGAACACTGCAATTTGCAAGCAGTTTCTGAATCTTAGCACCCCATCCCCTACTTTTTTTAAATTTGAAAAACTACAAGAGACAGCAAACTTCCAATCCCCTGTCCTATTTCAAAATAGAACAAATCCAGAGCACAGATGAGGGAAGAATAGAGGACTGAGCAAACATCAGAAGGGGAAGACTGTCTCACTGACACTAAATAAAAGAACTAAAGAGAAAAACAAGAGATCTGTCACAAATGAGGAAAAACCAAAGGAAGACCTCAGGCAATTTCAAGTGCACCAAGACAAAACTCCTGAAAAATCAGACCTTGGTGCCCAAGCAATGGAAGTCACCAAACACTGGCCCCAGAATACAACAGGGATTAGGGAATAGATGGAAAGAGTGAATAATACTCAAGAAAGACAAGATGCAACAATGAAAGAATTTGTAACAGAGATTTTGGCAAGAAAAAATTTCAGCCAGGAAATAAATAACAAGATGACAAGCATGGAAAGCAGAATTATTCTAGATGATAAAAAGAATCTCAGAACTTGAAGTCCAGAACACAGAATTAACCCAATCTGTAAAAAACATAGAAAGAAGACTCAGAAGAAAAGAACAAAGCCTACAAGAGATGTGTGATTATATCAAGAGGTTGAACCTATGCCTCCCTGGTATCCCAGAAGAAGAAAGGGAAATGGAGAACAACTTGGAGCAAATATTACAGGAGATAATCCAAGAAAACTTTCCCTATCTCACCAGAGATGTGACCAGTCAAGCACAAGAGATACAGAGAACCCCCACAAGACATCAAATGAGAAGACCAACTCATAGACACATAGTAATTCACCTACACAAAGTAGGCACAAAAGAAAAAATCCTAAAGACAGCAAGAGAAAAAGGTCAGACTGCCTACTGGGAAAAACCAATCAGAATAGCAGCAGACCTATCGGCAGAAACACTAAAAGCAAGAAGGGACTGGAGCCCTATATTCAAAATCCTCAAAGATAAACAGTTCCAACCAAGAATTTCCTATGCAGTCAAGCTCAGCTTCATCAGTGATGGAGAATTAAAATCCTTCCCAGACATTCATTCCCTAAGAGCTTCCAGATCAGCTTCCAGGTCAGCTTTATAGGAGACACTTAGAAAGATATTAAGCACAGAAGAAAGAAAAGAAAAAAGGAGCCCATGCTTCCAAAGAGAACAGCAGAGTACAGAATCAACAGAGAATACAGTGCAACAAGAAATTTGAAAGCACACACATACATTAACCCCAAAACAAAAAGAAAACAAGTAAACAAAGAAAAAACTTTATAACAACTTCATGGCAGTGATAAACAATCACATTTCAATAATCAGCCTGAATGTGAATGGACTAAATGCACCACTGAAAAGCTACAGAATAGCAAGCTGGATAAGAAACCATGACCCAATTATTTGCTGCATCCAGAAGACTCATCTCACTACAAGGGTCACACACAGACTCAGAGTTAAAGGATGGAAAACAAGTTCCCAGGCAAATGGATCACAAAAGAAGGTAGGAGTTGCAATCTTAATATCAGACAAAACAACCTTTAAGCTACCAAAAAATTTAAAAAGATGCAAAAGGACACTACATAATGATAAAAGGTTCAATCCATCAACAAGAAATATCTATCTTAAACATATATGCACCCAACACAGGAGCAACAGCATTTATAAAGCAGCTACTAAGTAAACTAAAAAAGAGAGATATTGACTCTAACACTATTATAGCAGGGGACTTGAGTACCCCAGTAACAGTCCTAGATAGATCATCAAGGCAAAAATATCAACAAGCAGATCCAGAATCTAAACTTGACACTCAACCAAATGGACT